ATCAGGCTCAGTCTTTCCCCTCCTACTGGAACTGACCCTGGAGTAAGGAGAATCACTCTAACATAGCATCTCCTGCATACAACTCTTGGAGAAGGTCCAGAAGGATACCTTGATTAATGGTATTGAAAGTTGCTGAGAGATCAACTAGGACCAGGAAAGTCACACCACCCCTAACCTGGTTCTGCTAGACATCATCCACAAACACAATCAATGCCAGGCCTGAAACCTAACTACACAGGGTCCAGATAACCCACTTCCTCCAGGGCCCTCTGAACCTTCTCTGCCACCTTAACTAAAAAAGGAGAGATTGGAGACTGATCAAATTTATCCAGCATTGCTGGGTCCAGCAATTAACATTAATTAGCATTAATGGAGCTGCAGACATGACAAGCTTCTATTTAACAGATTTATGTTTAGATTACAGGAAGAAAATACAAAACCCTATATATAGCAAACTCAATGTTGTCCTATATTAATTTTTAAAACAGGCGTACATACAGCGGGCATCTTCATGGAATTAGTAGTCAAGAATATAGAGATAACAATATCAGACAGAGAATGGGAGATACAGATTTATTAGCATCTGGCTGGCTACCCAAAAGTCAAAATAAAACTGTAATACATCTGGGAAATGTTCAAGTAAAACTGTCTAGAAAGAATTAAACAAGCGCACACGGTCAGCACTTTTCATCGTGCATTATACTTTTTGCAAGACTCATGATCAGAAGGACACTAATAATGCAAGGCATGTGAAACACTGTAGCAAAAACATTAGATCTTTCCAAAGTGAAATAGAGGTTTGTAACAGGAAAGAAAGGATTAGTGTTAAATCGTTGTCATTTATATGTTAGGTGCATCATATATACTGTAGGTACAGGGCCAAGAATGGGAAGAAATGACCAAATATCAGAACTGAGCAATTTAGAACCGACAAAATCCTTTTGCCTCAATATGTGTGGACTAAAATATCTTTACTTATTTATGAATTGGAGAGAGGTTAGTTCAACTTTCAACTTTATTGATTTGTCTTACAACCATATCAACAAGAATAAGAAACATCAG